TTCAGCTGAGTGTTTCCATCAACCACCTGCTTGATTTACTCCACCACCACCAACGGGGTGGAGCTAGACTCATAGCACAGCTTCATCATGGGGCCCACCTGCTACCAAGTGATTTAAACCAAGTTTACAAGGCCCCCGGATTCACTCCGAAAGTCCACTGAGACCGTCTGTGTCGCTGTTGCCAGAGCTGAATGCCGCACTGCAAAAACTGAGCTCTCAAAAACAGGGAAATATTACTTAAAATAAGCAAAATTATCTGCCAACAGAAGAAGAATATTTCACTTGCTACTTAAGGCCAAAAAAACTTGAAAAGTGAAATTCTCTAACATAAAAGGTAAGAAGACTCATCTTGTCAGACAAAAAACAAGTCAATTAAGATAATTAATCTGACTAACATTTTAGTTTTTGCAGTGCGTAATTCTAGAAAATGTTTGTGCTCACACCAGAAGTGCTGCAGAAGCATTCCAGCGTCAAGCAGCACAGAGAAGATGAACCGGGCAGAAAGTTAGACACAGAAATGGCAGAGAATTTGGTCAACTTTCAAAATAAAATACCCGGTACAGACTTCTGATTGTAAAACAAAAAACAGTTAAATCAGACAAAAAGGAAACATTTTAACTACGTAGCCTACTTAATCATAGTAGAAGCACAAAAAGCAAGCACCAAAATCTAAACATGTCAGCAAAATCCAGCAGGATTTATGTTTATTAAAACGTGCCATGAGTGACGAGACTGTTTCATTTGAGAAGAGCTGCTGAATTCGCCCCACACTGCGCAGCGTCATGTACCACCGTTGGTCGTCCGTGACCATGACAATGAACTGAGCTAAACTGGCCCAACTTCATGGCTCATGTAGTGAACCCCCTACCAGTGTGGGCCCTGGGTCGGCCGCCCCCATGCACCCACGCTGTACGCACCGCTTATGACCAGCAATGTCTAGACTCCGGGGATCCTGTCCTATCTATCTATCCTATCTATCTTCATACATGCCATATAGTTGGTGTTAAATATTTGTACATGTAGTGAACACCTCTACTAGTGATCGTTCATTTGCCCAGCTTCAATGGAAATGTATATACGTTTCCTGGGAAAAGATAGTTTAAGTATGACCAACGTCAGACAAAATCCATTTCCACTGTCCAGACAGGACTCTAAGCAGCAGAAATATGCACTCTCTCCTGTGATCGCGAGGTGATTAATGATCATCGAAATGGAGAAACGTCTAATCTACTTCTGCACAGACCACTGTAAAAACGGTTCCCAAGTCTGAGGTGGTACAGTAATTTGTCCTTTTTGAAATAGAAGTCTCATTTAATCACTCATGGGGTTCTTAATCCCCTTGGGGATTAAAATCAACTTTCTTTTCTGCCCTTGATCTGCTTGGAGCTGGAGGGGGTGGAGTTACCAGCTTGGGAAAAAATCTGCAGACTCAGGTACGCTACCAAGCACCAAGCCAAAGTTAACGTATGGGAATTGACTGCTCCTTCACTTGCCCTCCAGATCACACCTGCACAGACACATTTCATGACAGCGAGAAGACAGAAGCCAAATCACAGTCTGTTCGAGGTGTCAAATGGTCCTGCTAAGAAGGAGGCAGGGAAACGAAGAGCCACGTTATGTATGCCAACATGTCACGAGTGAACCTGGATGGGCCTGCACTATTGTGAATGAGGGGACGGTCCAAAGAGGTGAGAGAGGAGAGGCAGAGAACTCAGTGACCTGGGATCCTACTGCTTCAGATTATCCACTGCTCATCAGTGTTACACCTGTATCTAACTCTTGATGTCCAAATACAGCTGGATTAAAGACCCATTAGAATCAAAAAGTGGTCAGTTCCACACAGCTAAATGGAGATATCAAAGCGATAAGAAATCATGCCAATTACCTAGTATAACTAGAATTATCTCAGAATAAAAGTCTACAGATGTGTACCATTGGTCTCTCCGAAAATAAGAGAACATACCATTTTGTATGCTTATGTGCTTGGATGCTATGACAATGCTATGATATAAAGCTCAAGCAAACACCCACTATCATTTTGGCTTTTCACACGTGCATCTCTGACCCTGATCTAATCTGCCCCAGTTACCTGTCATTTTCATGGTTACCACAAAACAAGTCACTGCTGACTCACTCTTAATATTCAGCATATCGTCTAGATAGGAGAATTATGTAGATCTTTTCATCTAACTCTCAGCAAAAAAGAAAACAAGTGCATTTCCCAATATGTCAAACTATTCTGTTAAGACTATATTTCCTCAGTCCACACTAAGCCACCGCTTTGCTGCTTTAAATTGAGTGGACAAATTCTAAAATGTGGGCTTTGTTTTAGTTTGGACAAGGTAAACAGAGCCTGTGGAATACAGGGACGTACTGTTACGCTGTTAAGACACAGTTATGGACTGTGACATTTGACCACTGACACAGCACAGGAATTCTATTACTAAAAATTCACACTTGAAAATGATTTGCCATAGTTTGGGCTAGTGTCACTGACGATATCTCTTGTGTGGAATGTTTCTGGGTCATTCTGGGAAATGTAGGGAACCACAAATGGATGTTGAGATAATTACCTACAATGCATTTAGATATGACATCCAATAGTTTAACAGTATTAGATACTGGACCCCCCCCCCCCTGCACAGGCACTGCTGTTGTGCACCTTGATCTGCACAGTGACATCATGATTTTCTTTGAATTGTAGTGTTTTAGCTTTCTGTATATGAGTGACATGTATGATTTTGAGATCTGTTTAACCGTGCAATGACTGAGAATGAAGAGACGACTGAAAAGACGATTTACTATGCTTACATACAATATTATACTACAGTGTACTGTATACCAAAACCAGGAACCTATTAAATAAGCTCAGCTTCAGTCAAACTTTAACACCACTTTAAGCTGACTATGTGTACGTAAGCTTTTCAACAATAGTATCAGCAGCATCTCTTCTTTGTGAGAAAAATATATTTTAGTTGCAACTCATTATTGACTATTCCACAAGATTTAACTGAATGAGTCTGTTTAAGCCTCTTGTTTTGTGGTCTGCTAAAAAGCGCTCATTTGTTCAGTAAGCACTAGCTATGTGCGTGTCCTATAAAAGTTGCATGTACATTGGGTTGAAGCTGAGGTCCTGATCAGCTTGAACCCCGTTTTTTCTCTTTAATACTCTGTGGCTGATGACCACATTTCCCATCCAGGGCCAATAAAGTATCACTGAAATATTAACTATTCGGCTGATGTCAAATCCACTTGTGATTGTATTTTGCTCTATATATCAAACTTAGTAAATTCCTACAGTCACAAACAATATGGCTAAGACACTGTCCACACACACACTTCTACATACATGATAATGTATGTTCTGTGTAAGTTGAAGGTTGTGGTAATGAGTACCTCTAAACAGACTGAAAAATGACTCAAAGACTGCTGTGAGTCTTGTCTAGTACTATTTGCACTGCAAGAATTTGTACTGTTGTGTCAACTGAATGCTAACATTTAGTTAACACAACAGCATGCAGAAAAGAGGCAGAACAGCTCCACACGGCTTCTGCAGCCTCTTTGACACACAAATACTGTTTGATTGTTCTGCCACTGAACAGCAGCCTGCTAGTAAGGCTGGCTGTTCTTACATAACGTGAGAATACTGAACATAAGGATATTAAGATCAGACCCAGGGAAGTATGTTAACAGTGCTGGACTCCCATGACTTTGTAAGAATGAGACCTAATTCACTGAAGAGGCTTTGACAGAAAAAAAAAAAAACCTGTAAAAGCTCATGTACATTCCTAGTCAAAGCTACAGCATAAAGAGGCTCCACAAACTGCACTTTTTATACATGAGACAGAAGTACAGAGGGGGAAGGCTCGTCTTTACTGTGAAATTTCAAAGAGAAGGAAATAATTTACAGAAGCAAACTATCCCAGCTTAACACTTGTGATAAAGTTGCCTGTGGAAAACTAAACTACCAGGACTAATGTATGGCAATTATCATTACAAGGACAATAGCTAATGTGTGCATATATTAATGTGTTTTGAGTTTGACTACAACATTAGTGTAAAATAACTCAAAAGAAACTAATTGTGAATAAATCATATTATAAACTTGAGCCCTACTGATATTGTCTCATTGCAAACATATTGGTATCAGTGTATAAGTCAACTAACTTAAAGACAAGAAATTAAATACAGAAATACCTATTGATTTCTTTTACCCTTAGGTGGGGGGGCATTAAATGTTAATTGTTTCAGTTAGACTATGAATAGTTTAAAAACAGTGAAGAAATTGACCTTAGGAGGATTTGCATCATTTTTTACTAGTCAAATGTAAATATGTAGGGGCAATCAAAGGAAACAAAATACAAATCAATAAAAGTGTTTTAACATCTTTTGATGCGTCGGCCAGACAAAAGACTTCCAGTTTCTTTTATCTTACAAGGCAAAAAAACATTTGATGAACAGTAACTCTAGGTCAGTCAGTTATGTTAGCCAAAACAGGTTCTTTCACTCTTTAGTAACATTGTACATGATGCATACCACATGAACAATAACTAACTGAAGTGGTTGAAAATAGAAGACGTTTCTTCTCTCATCCGTCCTCAAGTGTCTTTAACCAAGTCCAGATGCCCTTGATTTTACCCCCCCCCCTCCCGGATAACTGGATGACGGCTGAGCTTCACAGATAACGTAAGTGCCCCATTAATTGTTAATTAATTTAAAGTCAATTTAAATTTGACAAGATGTACAAAGATTAGAATTTTACTAATGATGCTACTTGGAATGAATAAATTACAACCTACTGTATGCCTACAGTTAGCTACTTGTTCCGCTGTGAAAGCTTGCGTAAACCCACTGAACATATAACGTTAGCCTATGATAAGACTTTGACACATCCACTACAGGTAAAGATGAGTCATACAAGATAAAAAGTAATACTTCTCAGGAGTGTATAAAAGAAAGAGAAGGGGAAAAGAGAAAAGAAAGCGGAACGAAGAGCTTACATTGACTAGTGTCGAGTGAAGTATCGTTGTCGTCGGCGGTGTCTGTCAGGATGTTGTTATCCTCCCCGGCTGCTGCATTCAGGACCAAACAGTCTGTCTGTTCCAGTCTGCCGCATCTACAGCATCGCTGCACGCGGGAGCGGAGCACAGCAGAGCAGAGAGGGAGGGAGGGCCAGGACGGGGGGTGGAGGGGTGACACTACTGTACAGACCCTGCTGTCAGCGCCGGCTCACATGGGCGGAGAAGTGAGTCCTCTGCTTCGTGGAAATTTGGATTTCTGCCTTCATAATCTTCATTGTGGTGACGGCTAGGTGTTGGCTCATGTTTATGTAACCCACGAAGACTGTAGCCCGCATTTCCCACCAGTTCTTACTGAAAAGCGTGCGAGGTTAAAATAATATTATTCTAAATAAACCTAAATTGTGAAGGTACCCCATTGAAAAGTGGCCCCAAATAGGTGTAGTGCATTATTAGATATATTTACATTTGTGAGATCAAAAAAAAAAAAATCATTTGAATGATATAGCCTAACTTTAAAGTTATAATTTAAATGTATAAACCGGTGAATACTTTGAAGCCAAATGTGTGATGGCAATTTGTATATTTCGTTGAAAATCCATTCTTGACCTTAAAGAGTAATTAAAAAAAAATAAAAAAATCTAAATTCCACTTCCCCTTTTTTTACCCCCTCACATTCACTAAGCACTAATCCCCTGAAGAGGACCATGATATGTGGTTGAAAGACTCTAGAAAAAGCTAGAGTGGACCTTGAGTCAAGTTTTTTTTTTTTATGGTAAATTTTCATTTATTTTTGTTAGCACATGAAGTTTTCCATTAAAATGAACTTAAATCGTTTACAAATTTGTTTCATATAAATTGATATTCATTGAAATTATCTCTAAACATAATACCATCTATTTCTGTCTTGAATGGCAGTTTAATGAGAAACGTCAAACTAAAGAGAAACAGTAGAAACCCCCCTTCCTGTGTGTGTCCACATGTTTCCATATGTGTTTCATGTTCAGGCTGCTCTCACGCATCCTGTGGAAGACACTGTTGAATTCCTCAGAGGCTTAGGGGAGGTGACAAACACGGCAACCAGCTACAACTTGTCAACAAGGAACACATCTCACAGCATGAAACTGCTGCTAAACGTGAAGCTGACATGTTGAGACTTGAGAAACTACATAGCACCATACAATGTACAGATACACACTATTCTCTCCTTCGCTCCCCCATGTCTCCCCCTCTTGTCTCTCATCCATCTCTGACTGTCTTACTTGCCAGGAGGAATTATCCAGTGAACACACCTTGTGTCAAACAGGGATGATGAGGCACTTAACACACTTTAACCGGATAAAAAAAAGTCTGTGTGTCAGTTTCCAGTGACAAGGTATAAAGTGCGGCCTGGGAAGGTGAGGTTTGTTCTAAACACTGTCTTGCAGTTGAGGGCCGTCACCGTGGGTTGGGGATACACCTGCCAACATGTGAATAAGGGGGTACTTATTTTTGAGCACAGTGTGGCGTAATACTAGAGAAAAACCATTGAGCAGCTACATTTCCTGAAATATAAAAGTACAACTGGTGTATCTGTTTACAGTGACATGTTATGTTGCATTTCAGTGGATTCTTCGTAATAAAAGCCACTCTATAGGACCTATAGTTTCAATTGCACAGTTCTTCTGTTATGGACATTAGTGTTTGTCAAGACTACCCAAACCGAGAGCAAGTCAAGACCAAGACTTTTAGAGGCGGAGACCAGTCGAGACCAAGACAAGTTCCCCACATTACATGATAAACATTAAAATGTGAAACGAGATCATAGGTACTTCTCAGATTGACCTGAAAGTTCCTTAAAAACACCCACATATAAACACTAGGAGCAGAAATTAACGCAAGCCTCGTGGTTAACGGGAACACCACATTTTAATTAGGCTTATTGGTTGCATTTGAAGCAATACGTTTTACATCCAATCAAAGTTAAGATGTTAACAAATAAATCAGACGATGCAAAAGTAACTTATTGATATTCTTAAAGTTATGGTCTTGAAATACAATCCCGAGTCCTCAATGTCCGAGACAAGACCGAGTACAAATGCGGTCGAATCCGAGTTGAGACCAAGACCATCAAAAAGTGGTCTTAAGACCGGTCTCGAGTACTAAAACACTAAAGGACATGTTTTAGTTCTAACTTGGCAATGTGACCCTCTGTTTCCCATGCCAATAAATTAAGAAAGTGAACAGCAGGCTGTTATAAATTAGATAAAAATGTCCTGGATGCATAGATTTCCTGTGAATGCCTTGTTCCAAGGTAGCCAATCTGAATTCATAGCGGGAATGAAGGACTCGTCACTATCAATAACTTGCCACCACCAATAACGACTAGTATAGAGAGGTAATAAACTGAGTATAAATACATAGTATGGCTATTGCACAAAAATGCATACCATAAATACCATAAATGTCGTCCTCTCGTTGCCGCATTTCCAAGAAAAGGACTTCTGATTGTGGAAAATGCAAAAGGTGTGATGTTTATGTGCAACTGCCTTCTGTTGCCCACGGTGTGCAACAGCAGCTAAGGTTAGCTTAGAAATGAAGTCCGCTTACATCAACAAATGACTGGCACCCATCACATCACAAAGTCAAAGCTAAGATTACTGCAAAGCATTGTGTTCCACACTGAACACAAGACACCGGTAAGACCAGACCAATAATATTTATGCTCGAACACAGTTAACGTAGGTGGAAAATGCTTACCAGATGGGGAATTTTATTATTAAGATGTCGGCCATATTATCTGCCCAGAGAATTCACCAGTGTTTTTGTCATTATTGTTTACATTCCACCAGATGCAAATTTAAAAAATGCGCGGTCATCAGCAGTCACATGTCAAAACAACCAGATGGTGTTTTTATTGTTGCTGGTGATTTTAATCACAGATCTTATAACTGTTTTAACTAAATTCCACCAGCATGTCCAAATCCCCCGCAGTTATGTTTACACAAATATTCCCGGCAGCTACAAAGGTATCCCCTGTCCCCTTTTGGTCTAACAGACCACATTTCCTTGCTTCTCCTGCCCACTTACACCAAGCTGAAATGTGCTGATGATGTGGTGATCACTAAGACATTAAAATCATTCCCTAACCAGAAAGCCTGGATGAGTGGAGAGGTGAGGGCTCTATCCAGAGCCAAAAAAGCAGTTTTTTAATTAGGTGACAAGGAAGCAAACAAAAGCACCAGAGCAAGACTGAAAGCTGGCATCAAGGAGGCAAAGCAGCTTCAACACCAACACGTATGTGGCCGGTGATCAAAAACATCACAGGCTTTACTGCTCAACTACAGCAAAGCCAAGGAGGTGATCATTGATTATTTAGGAAAAAGGAGATAAAGACACACTCCTAACGTGACGTCTACATCAGGGAAGCTGAGATGGAACAGGTGAACAGTTTCAGGTCCCTTGGAATCAGCATCACAGAGAAGCTGACAGGGTCATCTCACATCTCCACGCTGGTACAGAAAGCTCAAAGACGGCTGCATTTCTTAAGGAAACTAAGTCAAAATACCCTTATTAACTTAGCCAGGACCATCTACCAGTAATATCGATGAGGTGATTAGGTTATTTCTCTATGTGATTTTATCATTTTTGTATATAACGTTTGCTTTGTGAGTAGCATAAACTACAAACGTTCCCCTGTTGTAAAATGACAAATAAATTGACCTTGCACCTTGTAAATATATTGTGATATTGTGGTTTTAGCTGGCTAATATTAAAGAAACTGCTAACCAGCTAACGTAGCACCAGACTGTGAGTGGATAACGTCAGCTAATCCAGACTCCCGGGGCTGATCAGGATGGTATATTGTCTGGTTTGCTGTGCATAACCAATGTGGCCTGACGACACATCTCTCTCACTCACTCTCTTAGGTCCAAGTTGGGTTAGTTTAGCTCTTATCCTGGCTTCTCTCCACTAATTGGTCTGGCTGGGTGGTCAGAAGAAGCAATTGACAGTCTCAAGGTCCAGTGCACCTAATCCAATCCCTGCTACTCTTTTTTTTTCAAAGTTAATGAGTGTATTTCAATCATAGGCCTATGTGCCAGGGCTGAGCCCCAGACAGCCCCGGCCCACTTTAACCCCTGCTTAATCTAACCATTGCTTTCAGCTTGCTTAGAGCAATGCAATTCAGCGGCTGGGGCATATTTATTTATTTTCTTATTAAACCTTTATTTAACCAGATGAGTCTCAGTGAAATTAAAGCAGGCTAACAGGTTGGTTTATCAGTCACAGTGCCTCAATCATTCATAATATGAGGGGGTAGTAGGCTACACTACAACTAATGTTTCCAAAGGAGGCTTTAATGACTTTCCAGAACTCGCTTGGGTTGTTTAGATTTTTGTGTAGTTTCACTAAGAAAATAATCTGATTTTGCCTTTTTAATGAGAGATGTAAAGCGAATTCTCCGTTGCCAAAAAATACACCCCATTAGCATCAGTCTTAAATTTCCTGGCCCCGCCCAGGCAGCATCCCTGTCCTTAAGTAGGCAGGAAATCTCAGGAGTTAGCTAGCAATAGCTTCGGCCCTTGACTCTAAATTTAGGAGTATGCTTATCTATGATCCTAAGAAGGCTATTATAAAAGTAGTTGCAGGCCAATTCTACTTTATCTCTAAGAAAACTTTTGTTCCAAACAAAGTGAAACAGGTCATGTAAAAAGGCTTGTTTACTGGGCTTAGCTGCGTGCCGTGGGTCTGGCGCCTAATGGCGTTGCCTGATGGGGTGATTTGCAAACGGCAAGCTTGTCCTTATCGGAGAGCCAATGGTCCAAGTAATCTGACATTACTGATAGAAATGTTATTCTAAATATGTTTGTAATTTATTTTCTAGCATTCAGGTAAGCCCTGAGTTATGTTGTTTAAGTTCTATACTGCTGGGGGACTTCCAGTGCTGCATTAAGTTCCTCTCTCCTCTTCTCCATCTACAGTACATGCAATCTTATCCCATTGACGCATGTTACTAACTGGACTTTTTCCCTCTCACGTAGTTTTGTGCTTTCTCCTTCCTTTCCTCTCTCCTGCTATTGTTTTCTGCAGGTAAATCTGGCTCCGGAGTTGTGGGGTCTGTATCTGGTTGTGGGCTCATTGCTGCCCCCATGTTCCTGCTCTTAGGACTATAATTAATTTTCTGTCTGTACCACTACCACCTTTATTGTTTTGTATTTCTGTATGGATAATGTGTTGGGCTGCTACTCTCTAACTCTCCACTCCCTCCACAATCAGTCGAGGCAGTTGGCTACAGTTCTGTTCTGTCTGTGTCGACAAGTGCCTTCTCATGGTGGGAACTGTTGGGTCTCTGTTAATAATTTTACTCAGGATTTGCCAAGTGTAGACAGATTTTGGGCCCAAACGCAAGATACAGAAGTCAGCGCAGGTT